CCACCAGGAGTGAGTGCTGAGTGCAGAGCCAGAAGGAACCCCTGAGCATGGCCCAATGCTACCCCCCTGCCCAAATAAAAGCCAAGAAACACTTCTCCTTTTTTTTTTTTTTTTTGCCTTTTGGGTCACACCCAGCGATGCTCAGGGGTTCCTCCTGGCTCTGCACTCGGGAATCACTCCTGGCGGTGCTCAGGGGACCCTGTGGGATGCTGGGAATCGAACCCGGGTCGGTCGCGTGCAAGGCAAATGCCCTACCCACTGTGCTATCGCTCCAACCCCAAGAAACACTTCGGGGTGTTCAGCCTTGTGTAATGGGGTACAAGAGAGAAAAGGGAGTCAACTCTACACCAGGGTCCATCTGAGCCCGACAGGTCCTGGGATGGCCTCAAGCAGGGTCCGTGGGCCTCCTCCTCCTCCTCCTCCTCCTCCTCCCCCTTCCTTCTGCCCTGGCACCCAGATGCACTCACGGTGGGCATACACAGGCCCCTCAGCATGAGCTCCCGGATCTTCTGGCCGCGCTTGGTGCCCTTCTGGGCCTCCTGACGCAGCAGCTGGCCGAGCCCCACGTGGCAGAAGCCATACTTGATGGCCATGGACTTGCACTGGGTCCCTTTGCCAGATCCGGGACCACCCATCACAAAGATGATGAGCGCGGACTTGAGGAGGTCTGTGGGGCGAGAGGGCAAGGGGTGAGGGGGGCAGTGGGATGAGGAGTCACGGGGTAGGGAGATGGGAGGGGAGGGGCTGGAGCGACAGCACAGCGTGTAGGGCGTTTGCCTTGCACGCGGCCGACCCGGGTTCGATTCCCAGCATCCCATAGGGTCCCCCGAGCACCGCCAGGAGTCATTCCTGAGTGCAGAGCCAGGAGTAACCCCTGCGTGTCACCAGGTGTGACCCCAAAAAGCCAAAACAAATAATAATAATTAAAAATAATTAACGTGGGGGCTGGAGCGACAGCACAGCGTGTAGGGCGTTTGCCTTGCACACGGCTGACCCGGGTTCGATTCCCAGCATCTCATATGGTCCCCTGAGCACCGCCAGGGGTAATTCCTGAGTGCAGAGCCAGGAGTAACCCCTGTGCATCGCCGGGTGTGACCCAAAAAAAGCAAAAAAAAAAAAAACCATAAAAAAAGAGATGGGAGGGAAGAGGAGGGGGGCTGCGGGGGGTTCAGTGTTTACTGGGACAAGCAGGCACTGTCGTGATTTTTTTTTCTTCTTGGGTCACACCCAGCGATGCACCGGGGTTCCTCCTGGCTCTGCACTCAGGAGTTACTCCTGGCAGTGCTCAGGGGACCATATGGGATGCTGGGAATCGAACCCGGGTCGACTGCGTGTGAGGCAAATGCCCTACCTGCTGTGTTATCGCTCCAACCCCACTGTCATGATTTTGTTTAGAGCTTAGTGTAGGGGTGCACACAGCTCAGCTGGCACCAGGGGGTGGCAGGCCCCATGCCAAGGATGCATCATCCAGACGGCCATTTGGTGGGTGCTGAGGGTCGCTGGGGGGGGTGATGACGTGAACTTGACACGCAAACCCTTTGCAGATGCCAAGAATCCATCCCCCCATGTCAACTGAGGGTAACTGTCCATTGTGCTCAGATGTTTTTATTTTTCTTTTTTTCCCCTTTTGTTTGAGGGCCACACCAGGAAGTGGTCAGGGCTTCCTGCAGGCTCTGCACTCAGGAATTTCTTCTGGTGGTGCTTGGGGGAACCATATGGGGTGCCAGGGACTGAGCCTGAGTTGGCGACGTGCCAGGGAAATGCCCTACCCGCTGTATTATTTCTCTGGCCCCATTCATGACAGACCATTTTCTTCTACTTTTTTTTTCTTTTTGGGTCACACCCGGTGATGCACAGAGGTTCCTCCTGGCTCTGCACTCAGGAGTTACTCCTGGCGGTGCTCAGGGGACCCTATGGGATGGTGGGAATCGAACCCGGGCCGGCCGCGTGCAAGGCAAACGCCCTCCCCGCTGTGCTATCTCTCCAGCCCAGTTTTCTGCTTCTTTTCTCCCATTCAGCCCCAGGAGCCTCCTTCTAAGCCCTTGAAATTCCACAGGGATATTTCTTTTCTTATTTTTAGTTTTAGGGCTGGAGCGATAGCACAGCGGGTAGGGCGTTTGCCTTGCATGCAGCCAACATGACCAACCAGAGTTCAATTCCTCCGCCCCTCTCGGAGAGCCCGGCAAGCTACCGAGAGTATTCGATATGCCAGACACAGTAACAACAAAGTCTCCAATGGAGACGTTACTGGGCCCGCTCGAGCAAATCGATGATCAACGGGAGGGCCTTTTTTAATTTTTAGTTTTGGGGCCACACCCGGCAATGCTCAGGGGTTACTCCTGGCCCTGCACCTTTAGGGATCACTCCTGGTGGAGCTAAGGGCACCTTCTGGGATGCTGAGGATCTAACCCAGGTTGGCTAAGTGCAAAGCAAGTGCCTTCCTATTGCTTCACCCCACCCCAGGGATACTTCTCCCCAGGCCCCTGTTTCAGCTCAAAGAAACACTTCTTTTCTCTCCGTGTCTCCAAATTCTCTCTTTTTTTGCTTCCCATGACAGTGGTAATCATAGCTTCTGTTCAACTTGTTTACATCTTACTCACCAGCCAGGCTCTGCTGAACTATTCGGTCCCCCCCCAAGTCCCGACACTCTTCATTCAGTTCCTGACCTAGGGTGGTGGGTGAGGCTTAAAGGAATGGTCTAGGGGTACCAGACCCATCAACGGAACACCTTCGTTTCCCATGCTTTATCTGGAGCGCTACTTCCCTTCCCCTTTGTTCGGCCAGCCCTGCATCCTGTGTAAGTAAGTTCTCCCCCTCTGCCTCTTCCACTCCCTAGGACAACTTCCACTTCCCCGAGAAGGTGGGCATCTTCTCGGTTGTGGTCCCACATCCGGAGACTCCTCCGTTACTTCCTAGTCTCCAAAACAGGACGTGGAGATGGTTTGACAATAGTCAACTGACCCCAGAGCCATCGAACAGTGGGGAGGGAGTTTGCCCTGCACGTGGCCCATCCAGGGTTGATCCCGGATCATCCCATGTGATTCTCTGAACAACACCACCAGGAGTGGATTCCTGAGCACAGAACCAGGAGGCACCGTTGAACACGGCTGTGGGTGTGCTCCCACCCCGCAAAAAAAAGAAAAAAAAGAGAGAGAAACAAAATCATCCTCTGAACCCAGCACAGACGTGGTCCTGAGTGGATTAATGAATGAATGAATGAAAGAACTACTGTCAACTGACCCCAAAGCGATAGAACAGTGGGGAGGGAGTTTGCCCTGCAACGTGGCCCATCCAGGGTTGATCCCGGATCATCCCATGTGATTCTCTGAACAACACCACCAGGAGTGGATTCCTGAGCACAGAACCAGGAGGCACCGTTGAACACTGCTGGGGGTGTGCTCCCACCCCGCAAAAAAAGAGAAAGAGAGAGAGAAACAAAATCATCCCCTGAACCCAGCACAGACGTGGTCCTGAACGGATGAATGAATGAATGAAAGAACTGCTGTCAACTGACCCCAGAGCGACAGAACAGTGGGGAGGGAGTTTGCCCTGCAACGTGGCCCATCCAGGGTTGATCCCGGATCATCCCATGTGATTCTCTGAACAACACCACCAGGAGTGGATTCCTGAGCACAGAACCAGGAGGCACCGTTGAACACGGCTGGGGGTGTGCTCCCACCCCGCAAAAAAAAAAAAAAGAAAAAAATCATCCCCTGAACCCAGCACAGACATGGTCCTGAGCGGATAAATGAATGAATGAATGAATGAATGAAAGAACTGCTGATCTATGAGTATGAGCAGTTGCATGCGTGCCTGGGGGGCCAGGGGAGGGCTGTGTGCCCACCTGAGCAAAAGGAGTGGGAATTAATTGGGGGGGGTCCTTCCCCTATGGGGGATGCTTTCATTCCCTCCTGCCCTGGGCAGCCTCGCTTGTGGCCCACCCCACCGAGTTCCCGGGAGACCCCCCGCCCGATTACCCTTCTCCGGCTGGCTCAGACGCCTGCCCTTCCGGGGCAGGGTGGACTTGACCTGCCCCATCCTTGCAGCGGCCCGAGGGCTGGTCCCACCCCATCCCCACCCACCCACCCACGCCCGACCCCTCCAGGCTTGGCCCCACGTCACAAGGGCCTCTCTGCCCGATCATGCTGCGGGGGGGGTGGGCGCTCCCCGGAAGCAGCGAGGGATGGAGAAGAAGCCCCCCTAAAGGGGTTCAAGGTGCGTCTGTGTTGGGGGGCGGGGAGCCCTGGCGGCCACCACCAGCCGCCGGCCCGAAGGCCGAACGCGCCTGCGTCGCCTTGGCGACGCGGCCTCTCCGCGCCGACTTCCGGAGTGCGGACGGCGCATGCGCCGGGCGAGCCCGCGAGCGAGCGCGACTCCGCCCCCTCCCCGACTCCCATGATGCCGCGCGGCCGCGGTGACGTCACCGACGCGCCCGCGGGTTCTGATTGGCTCGGCCGCGGGGCCGGGGCGGGGTCCGCGGCGCCGCTTCCTGGTTTGCAGTCAGCGCAGGCGCAGCTTCGTGCCAGCGGCCACTCGAGTTCTGATTGGCTCGGACGCGGGGCCGGGGCGGGGTCCGCGGCGCCGCTTTCTGGTTTGCAGTCAGCGCAGGCGCAGCTTCGTGCCAGCGGCCACTCGAGTTCTGATTGGCTCGGCCGCGGGCCGGGGCGGGATCCGCGGCGCTGCTTCCTGGTCTGCGGAGACGGCGCAGGCGCAGCTTCGTGCCAGCAGCCACTCGCGTTCTGATTGGCTCGGCCGCGGGCCGGGGCGGGGTCTCCGCGGCGCCGCTTCCGCGTCTGCAGACGGCGCAGGCGCAGGCGCAGCTTCGTGCCAGCGGCCACTCGGGTGGCCACGGTGGTGCCACTTTGCGGGTTTTTTCCCCGCCCCCCGCGATCTGCGGGCACCTCGGCCTTCGGGGGTCCCTCTGTCGTGACCTGATCCCGCCCTTGCAAGCGCGGGTGTGGGTTCCAGTGGGGTGGGGGCACGATTTTGGGGGGCCCGGGGCGCGTGGACACGGGGGGTGGGGGACAGCGGAGGGACTCGGATTGCAGCTGGAGAGGCCGCACGGCGACCCCCTGAGCCATGGCGACCCTCGTGAGTCTGCAGCTGGTGGCGGGGATGCGGGTGGCGGCGGCCGCTGCGGGTCCCCCGCCTCCCGGTCCCCACTGACCACTGACCACCCCGCGTCCTCCTGTCCCTGTCCTCGTAGGGCCCCGGCAGCCAGAATGTCACCGAGTACGTCGTCCGAGTTCCCAAGTAAGTCCTTCCTTCTCCCTTTTCTTTTTGGTTTTTTTTTTAATTTTTTGCTTTTTGGGTCCCACCCGGCGATGCACAGGGGTTACTCCTGGAATTACCCCTGGCAGTGCTCGGGGGACCCTATGGGATGCTGGGACTCGAACCCGGGTCGGCTGCATGCAAGGCAAACGCCCTCCCCGCTGTGCTATGGCTCCAGCCCCTCCCCTTTTTATCCACCCCCCCCCCCCCTTAAGAATCAAAGAAAAAAAAAACACAAAAGAATAATTGCTTTTGGAGTTTTGCAGCGGGTCCTGCAACAGGGTGCTAAAGGTTGTGGCCTTTCTTTTTTTTTTTTTCCCCCCTCTGAACGGAATGAATGGAGAAATGGATGAATGAGAATAGATGCATGAATAAATGAACGGAGGAATGAATGAAAGAATGAATGAACGAGTGAGTGAGGGCATTCATGCAGCATGCAAGGAATTCCCTCCTCCAGGAAAGCCTTTTTTTTTTCTTTCTTTTTTTGCTTTTTGCTTTTTGGGTCACACCCAGTGATGCTCAGGGGTTCCTCCTGGCTCATGCAATCAGGAATTACCCCCTGGCGGTGCACAGGGGACCATATGGGATGCTGGGAATCGAACCCGGGTTGACCGCGTGCAAGGCAAACGCCCTACCCGCTGTGATATTGCTCCAGCCCCCAGGAAAGCCTTTTCATCCGAGACTCAGCTTTCCCATCTGGAGTTCTTTGGGTTGTTTTTTTTTTTTTTTTCTGGGGTGGGGGGAAGGTGGCACGCCCGGGAGTGTTCAGGGCTGACTCCTGGCTTTGCACTCCTGGTGGGCTCTGAGGACCCTATGGTGTGCGGGGATCGAACCTAAAATCAGCTGCGTGCCAAGGCAGATTCATACCCTCTGTCCCGGCATCTGGTTCAGCAGAGCCTCAGAGCAAATGCTCGCCTTCCCGCTGACCACAGTTCCTGCCAGTCTTCGTCTCAACTCTTCCTGCTTGTTTGGTCCCTGGGGTTGGGAGGGTGTGAATCCCATCTTCCCTGACACTGGAAACCTCTGGATCTTTCGTGAAGATTCCCCCCCCCCCCTTTCCTCTGGCACCAGTCCAGAACTGAGCCAGGGGAGGGTTTGTGGAAGGCTAATTGAGCACTAGGCACTGAGCACTGTTTCGTGTCGCCCATTCCAGAAACACCACCAAAAAGTATAACATCATGGCCTTCAATGCAGCTGATAAAGTCAACCTGGCCACTTGGAATCAGGTAAGTCCCGGTCTGGGAGGTGAGAGAATCTGATCTTTGGGTGGGTGGTGATTGCTTATTCTGTTGGAGTAGTACCTGATTTCACTGCATTTGTGCGTGTGGAGGGAGAGTTTGGCCACATCTGCTGATCCTCAGGGCTGACTCCAGCCTCTGTGCTCAGGGATCCTGTGGGTTCCCAGGGGCGGGACCAGGGTCTGCTGTATGCGGTGCTCAGGGTTTACTCCTGGCTTTGCACTCAGGAATTACTATCCACTGTCCCATTGCTCTGGCCCCTTAACTTCTAAACTCTCTGGCCCTATCATTTCATCATTTCATATTTTATGTCAAAAAATTTTTTTGTTAAAAAAAACTGAGATCTCCAAGCCTGCTCGGATTGGGGCTGAGCATCCTCCACCCAGATCCTCCGAATTCCAGTAGGCAGGGGTCACACCCACCAACTGGCCCCAGCGCCATGTAATCCCATCAACGGCCAAGACCCAGAGACTATAAAACCCAGCTCCTGGAAGCGCACGGCCGCAAATGCGGCCACATGACATCTTATTATCTCATTCTTACTTTGGGCAAACTGGCAGGCTACCGAATGTAACCTGCCCACACGGCAGAGTCTGGCAAACTCCCCGTGGCATCCCCAATATGCCAAATACCAGCAACAATGAAGGGTCTCATTCTCCTAACCCTGAAAGAGCCTTGAATATGGCACTTTTTTAAAAATCTCAGGGCTAGGAGGAAGGAGACGTTACTGGGGCCTGCTCGAGGCAATCGACGAACAACAGGATGGTCGTGATCGACGTGAAACTTTTTTTGTTTTATTATGTATGAGGGGCAGGAGGGGATGGGGAGGGGGTGTTGGGCCCCTCCAGGTGTGTTCTGTGCTTAGCAGAGACCCCCTCTCCCCCTTGGTGGTGGTGGGAGACGTATGTGGTGCTGGGGATTAAACCAGGGTTTGACATATGCAAGGCAAATGCTCTCTCCCCAGCGCTTTGAAGCTTTGTTAAAGGTTATAAAGCCAAGATTTTGGGAGGGCTGGAGCAACAGGACAGCCGGGAGGGCGTCTGCCTTGCATGTGGATGAACTGGGTTTGAATCCCAGCGTCCCCTATGGTCCCCCGAGCACTGCCAGGAGTAATTCCTGAGTGCAGAGCCAGGAGGAACCCCTGTGCATCACTGGGTATGACCCAAAAAGCCAAAAAATAAATAAAGGCTGGGGCTGGAGAGATAGCACAGCGGGTAGGGCATTTGCCTTGCACGCGGCCGACCCGGGTTCGATTCCCAGCATCCCAGCATCCCATAGGGTCCCCTGAGCACCACCAGGGGTGATTCCTGAGCACAGAGCCAGGAGTAACCCCTGTGCATCGCCAGGTGTGATCCAAAAAGCAAAAAAATAAATTAAATAAATAAATAAATAAATAAAGGTTATAAAGGCAATTTTTATTTATTTATTTTTTTTTCTTTTGTGTGTGTTTGTGTGAGTGTGTGTGTGTGTGTGGAGGGAGATTTGGGGCCACAGTCTGGTGGTACTCAGGATTTGTTTTTGGCTCAGCCCTCAGGGATCACTCCCCGAGGTACTCAGGGGACCCTGAGGGATGGTGGGGGTTGAGCCCGGGTGGTCCACGTACGAGGCAAGTGCCTTCTCTGTTGGACTGTCACTTCAGGCCTAATTGTCTTTGTGTTTTGGTCCAGACCCATCAGTGCTCCAGACTTACTAGTCTTTGCTCTGAGCTCAGGGATCACTCCGGGTGGGGCGTGAGGGACCCTCAGGGGTGCCTGGGGGTCGAATCCAGGTCTCAGACATGCACTTGAGTGCTGAGCCGACACACCCTGGCCCCAACTATTTTGGGGGGAATGGGGTGCGGGAGGAGTTTGCTTCCCTTTTTATTTTTTTGGCTACGCTACACTTGATCTTAGCCAAAAGGCCAAGAAGCATGGGAATCCTTACAGGAACTGCACTGAATCTGTATAAGGCTTTGGGGAATATTTCTGGTTTAACAGCGTCAGTCCTCCCAATGCATGAACAGGGGGTGTGTACATTTCCTCATGTTCTCTTTCAAATAGTAGTTTGTAGGGTTTTTTTTTTTTTTTTGGTATAGATCTTTCATCTCTTTAGTTAAGCTAATTCCTAGGTATTTGATTTTTTCTGAGACATAATTATTATTATTATTATTATTTTTTTTTTTGCTTTTTGGGTCACACTGGCAATGCACAGGGGTTACTCCTGTTTCTGTTCTCAGGAATTACTCCTGGCAGTGCTCGGGGGACCATATGGGCTGCTGGGAATCGAACCCGGGTTGACCGCGTGCAAGGCAAACGTCCTACTTGCTGTGCTATCGCTCCAGCCCCTCTGAGACATAATTGGGAGTGGCACAATTACGTCTCATTCATAATTGAGCTCTGGGCTGGAGCGATAGCACAGCAGGTAGGGCGTTTGCCCTGCACTCGGCCGACCCGGGTTCGATTCCTCCATCCCTCTCGGAGAGCCCGGCAAGCTACCGAGAGTATCCCGCCCGCACGGCAGAGCCTGGCGAGCTCCCCGTGGCGTATTCGAGATGCCAAACACAGTAACAGCAAGTCTCGCAGTGGAGATGTTACTGGTGCCCGCTCGAGCAAATCGATGAACAGCGGGAGGACAGTGCTTTTTTTTTTTTTGGCTTTTTTGGTTCACACCTGGCACATCTCAGAGGTTCCTCCCAGCTCTGCACTCAGGAATCACTTCTGGCAGGGCTCAGGGACCCTGTGGGATGTCAAAGGATCGAACCTGGGTCAGCCGCGTGCCAGGCGGACGCCCTCCCCACCGGACTCTCCCTCCCGGCCTGGGTTTTGCTTCTCCTTCGGGCACGACCTCCGATGTGCAGAGGGGGGCCGGGGCGGGCGCCTGGCTCAGGGGCCGTGTGCCTTGTGCCTGCCCAGGCCCGGCTGGAGCGAGACTTGAGCAACAAGAAGATCTACCAGGAGGAAGAGCTGCCGGAGTCGGGCGCAGGCAGCGAGTTTAACCGCAAACTGAGGGAGGAGGCACGGCGGAAAAAATACGGCATCGTCCTCAAGGAGTTCCGGCCCGAGGACCAGCCCTGGCTGCTCCGGGTCAACGGCAAGTCCGGCCGGAAGTGAGTGGGCAGTGGCCTGGGGGTAGGGGTATTGGGGTGTCTCTTCTTGCACCTTTTTATTTATTTTATTTCTTTTTTGCTTTTTGGGTCACACCTGGCGAAGCACGGGGGTCACTCCTGGCTCACGCACTCAGGAATTACTCCTGGCGGTGCTCGGGGGACCCTATGGGATGCTGGGAATCGAACCCGGGTGGGCCGCGTGCAAGGCAAACGCCCTGCCCGCTGTGCTATTGCTCCAGCCCTCGCACCTTTTTATTTTTTTGGGGGGGGGGAGGGTTGGTGTTTGGGTCACCTGGCGGTGCTCAGAAGGACCACTCCTCGCTGGTGGTGGGGACCCGATGGGAGGCCGGCGCCCTACCCGCTGTGCCATCGCTGCAGCCCCATCCTGAGCTTTGGTGAGGGGACATTGGGTGGTGCTTGGGGATTACCCCGGTGTGCAGGGCTCAGGGGATCCTGTGGGGTGCCAGGGATGGAACCCGGGTGGGAAGCTCTCTTTGCTGTCCTCTTTTACTTTATTTCTTTTTTTGCTTTCTGGGTCACACCCGGCGATGCACAGGGGTTCCTCCTGACTCTGTGCTCAGGAATTACCCCCGGCGGTGCTCAGGAGACCCTATGGGATGCTGGGAATCGAACCCGGGTCGGCCACGTGCACGGCAAACGTCCTCCCCGCTGTGCTGTCGCTCCAGCCCCGCTCTCTGCTGTCCTCTTGTTCTGGCCCCAGCACCTCGTTTTCAGTCGTGTAAACTGGGGGTGGCCTCCTCTTTTTGCAGTGCTGTTGGGGATCACTGGCAGCCCTGGGATGACCCCCCAGCCCAACTGCAGGGACTCTGCTGGGCGTATGTAGGACCCCCGGGGGCTTGAACTCGGGACTGTGTGCTTGTGAAACAGTTCTCTGAGCCCTACGCCTCATCCCTGCTCTGCAGGCGCCTTGGGGGCCTCTGGCAGGACTATGTGTATCACGGCCCACTGGGGCTGTCGTGTGTGTGTGTGTGTGTGTGTGTGTGTGTGTGTGTGTACGCGCTGGTGATGGTGGAGGGCAGAAACGGCACATTCAAGCGAGGAGGTCGGGCCTCGTGGGCCCTCGCAGTGAGAGAGACAGGCGCCAGAGTGACGGGACATGGGAGGGCCTTGGCCTTGCACGTCGCCGACCGGGGTTCGATCCCTGGCATCCCATAGGGTTCCCCTAGGCACCCCCAGGAGTCAGACCTGAGCATCGCCCGGTGCAGACCAAAACCCCAACCCCCTTGGCATCTGTGGATGGTGTTTGCCCAGGGCTGGGGTCCCCCGTGTGCCTCCGGCCTGGCCTGGGGCCGTCCCGGGCCTGCCGTGACCCTGGCCGTGGCCCCTGCAGGTTCAAGGGCATCAAGAAGGGCGGCGTCACGGAGAACACTTCCTACTATATCTTCACCCAGTGCCCCGACGGCGCCTTCGAGGCCTTCCCCGTGCACAACTGGTATAACTTCACGCCGCTCGCCCGGCACCGGACACTCACGGCCGAGGAGGCGGAGGAGGAGTGGGAGCGGTGAGAGCGGGGCGCGGGGACCCCCACTGACCGGGTCCGGGAAAGGCCCACCCCCACCCCCGCTCCTCTCCGTCCCGCGTCAGGGCTCGCCGCGTGGGGGGGCTTTGGGACCCCGCCGAGGGGGCGTGGGGTGGGGCCCGGCCCCCTCCCAGCCCCTCTCAGCCCCCGCGTGTGCCTCCCCCCCCCAGGAGGAACAAGGTCCTGAACCACTTCAGCATCATGCAGCAGCGGCGGCTCAAGGACCAGGGCCAGGACGAGGAGGACGAGGACAAGGAGAAGCGGGCCCGGAAGAAGCCCAGCGAGCTCCGCATCCACGACCTGGAGGACGACCTGGAGGTGTCGTCCGAGGACAGCGAGGCCAGCGGGGAGGAGGGTGAGTGTGCGGGGCCACTGGGGAGGAGGGTGAGTCTGCAGGGGGAGGAGGGTGAGTCTGCTGGGAGGAGGATGAATCTTTAGAGCCACTGGGGAGGAGGGTGAATCTGCAGGGAGGAGGGTGAGTCTGCAGGGAGGAGGGTGAGTCCGCAGGGCCAGTGGGGAGGACGGTGAGTCTGCTGGGAGGAGGGTGAGTCCGCAGGGCCAGTGGGGAGGAGGGTGAGTCTGCAGAGAGGAGGGTGAGTCTGCAGGGCCAGTGGGGAGGAGGGTGAGTCTGCAGGGAGGATGGTGAGTCTTCAGGGAGGAGGGTGAGTCTTCAGGGCCAGTGGGGAGGAGGGTGAGTCTGCAGGGAGGATGGTGAGTCTTCAGGGAGGAGGGTGAGTCTTCAGGGTCATTGGGGAGGAGGGTGAGTCCGCAGGGCCAGTGTGGAGGAGGGTGAGTCTGCAGGGAGGAGGGTGAGTCCGCAGGGCCAGTGGGGAGGAGGGTGAGTCTTCAGGGAGGAGGGTGAGTCCGCAGGGCCAGTGGGGAGGAGGGTGAACCTGCTGGGAGGAGGGTGAGTCTGCAGGGAGGATGGTGAGTCTTCAGGGAGGAGGGTGAGTCTTCAGGGCCAGTGGGGAGGAGGGTGAGTCTGCAGGGAGGATGGTGAGTCTTCAGGGAGGAGGGTGAGTCTTCAGGGTCATTGGGGAGGAGGGTGAGTCCGCAGGGCCAGTGTGGAGGAGGGTGAGTCTGCAGGGAGGAGGGTGAGTCCGCAGGGCCAGTGGGGAGGAAGGTGAGTCTCTGCAGCGCCAGACCGCCGCAGTTTCCTGAAGCTTCTAAAAGCAGGACGGGGGTCGGGGGGGGGTGGTGCTCAGGCAAACCACAGAGGGTAGGGGGCTTGCCTCCTGCGTGGCTGGCCCGGGTTCGATCCCTGGCATCCCATATGGTCCCCGGAGCCCCGCCAGGCGTCAGCCCTGAGCACCGCCGGGTGTGGACAAAGGCCTGACGACCACCCCCACCCCCTAACCTGGAGAACAGCAGAGGCTGGGGACCGGGAGCCGCCTCGCTGGCCACCGAGGGGTGGGGTGGCTGGTGACGTGGGGACTGAAGTCGTTCCCAAGTCCCGGGGGCCCGACCCTCGCCTCCCTCTGCTGCCCCAGGTGGCCGGGCCCCCAAGGCCAAGAAGAAGACCCCGCAGGCCAAGGCAGGCAAGAAGAAGAAGAAGAAGAAGGGCTCGGACGACGAGGCCCTGGAGGACAGCGACGACGGGGACTTCGAGGGGCAGGAGGTGGATTACATGTCCGACGGCTCCAGGTGGGGCGCGGGGGGCCGCGGGGCAGGGCCTGGGCCGGCCTTGGGGGACTGCGCCCCGCTCACCCCGCCCTGTCCCCGCCGCCCAGCTCCGAGGACGAACTGCCCGGGAAGCCCAAGGTCCCGCAGCAGGAGGAGGGACCCAAGGGGGTGGACGAACACAGTGAGAGCAGCGAGGAGAGCGAGGAGGAGAAGCCGCCCGAGGAGGACAAGGAGGAGGAGGAGGAGAAGAAGGCGCCCACGCCACAGGAGAAGCGGCGCAAGAAAGGTGGGGGGGCAGGGGGCTGGAGCGGTGGCAGAGCGGGGAGGGCGTTTGCCTTGCATGCAGCCGGCCCGGGTTCGATCCCCGGCATCCCTTGTGGGTCCCAGAGCACCGCCAGGAGTGATTCCTGAGTGCAGAGCCAGGAGTGACCCAAAAAAAGCAAAAAACAAAAAAAAAAAAAGGAAGAAAGAAAACGCATGGGGCTGGAGCGATAGCACAGCGGGTAGGGCGTTTGCCGTGCACGCGGCCGACCCGGGTTCGATTCCCAGCATCCCATAGGGTCCCCCGAGCACCGCCAGGAGTAATTCCTGAGTGCAGAGCCAGGAGTTAACATTGAGCATCACCGGGTGTGACCCAAAAAGAAAAAAGAAAGGTGGTCTGCTCCTTCTCGACTCCCTGTCCCCCTTCCGGGCCTGTGAGGACCGGGGGGTCCTGACCCCTTGTGCTCCTGCCCCCTCAGACAGCAGCGACGAGTCGGAGAGCTCCGAGGAGAGCGACATCGACAGCGAGGCCTCCTCGGCCCTCTTCATGGCGGTGAGCCGGGCCCAACCCGGGATGCCGGGCGGGGGGCATGGGGCATTGGGGTGGGGGGGTCTCCTTCCGCTCACCCCCTCACTCCTCCAACAGAAGAAGAAGACGCCCCCCAAGAGGGAGCGGAAGCCGTCGGGCGGGAGCTCCCGGGGAAACAGCCGGCCCGGGACACCCAGCGCCGAGGCGGGGACCACGTCCTCCACCCTCCGGGCGGCCGCCACCAAACTGGAGCAAGGTGGGGGCCTCACCCAGTGCCGGGGGGACAAGAGCGGGTCAGGGCTTCCTGTCCCCACCTGCTGGGCAGCCGGACCCCCACCCGCACCCCCACTCTGGCTCCCTGCCGTCCCTTCAGCTCCTCCTTACCCGCTGGCTCAGCCCTCCTCTTGGTCCCTGCAGGAAAGAGGAGCAGTGAGACCCCCGCCGCCAAACGTCTCCGGCTAGAAACGGGGGCCCAGAACCCATCTGGGAAATCCACCCCTCAGCCCCAGTCGGGAAAGTCCACCCCGAGCAGCGGGTAAGTCAAGTCGGCAGCGAGGGGCAGGGGAGGGAGGGAGGGAGGGAAGGGAAGGGGTGCGGGGGGGACCCCGGGGTAGGGGGGCGGCACGGACCCCCACCCACACCCTGCTCCGTGCCCCGCCGCTTCCTCAGGGACGTGCAGGTGACGGAGGACGCGGTGCGGCGTTACCTGACGCGGAAGCCCATGACCACCAAGGACCTGCTGAAGAAATTCCAGACCAAGAAAACGGGCTTGAGCAGCGAGCAGACGGTCAACGTGCTGGCGCAGATCCTCAAACGCCTCAACCCCGAGCGGAAGATGATCGGGGACAAGATGCACTTCTCCCTCAAAGAGTGACCCCTCCCCCTCCCCCCCCCCCGGGCCCCCCAAATAAACCCGCGCCTTCCCCTGCAACTTGGGTTGCCCTGGAGGTTTTTTGGTTTGTTTGTTTTTTTTTTGCTTTTTGGGTCACACCCGGCGATGCACAGGGGCTACTCCTGGCTCTGCGCTCAGGAATTACCCCTGGTGGTGCTCAGGGGGACACTAGGGGATGCCGGGAATCGAACCCGGGTCGGCCGCGTGCAAGGCAAACGCCCCTCCCCGCTGTGCTATGGCTCCAGCCCCGCTCTGGAGTTTTTCTTGTCTCGTTTGAAGGGTGTGCTCAGGGCTGACTCCTGGCTGGCTCTGCGCTCAGGAATCACTGCTGCCGGGTGCTCAGGGGGCCCTATAGGGTGCCGGGGATCAAACCCAGGTCAGCCGCCTGCAAGGCAGAAGCTGGACTATCACTCTGGCCTTCCTGTGTCCATTTGATTGCGGGGCACGGCGAGGCCCACAGATGGGGCGGGGAAGCCTCCGACTCCAGCTTTCTGGACACCCAGGGGAAGACCCCTGCTTACCCCCAGTTTACACTTTGGGGAGATGGGCACCATGTAGACGCTTCAGCCTGACAACACGGCCCCCTGCCGTCCTCGGCCCATGACCATGCTGTGGTTGTCGAATATACCAGGGCTTGGTGGGTGTGAAGGGGGGACCCTGATATATTTTATTTTTTTGCTTTTTGGGTCACACCCGGCGACGCACAGCGGTTCCTCCTGGCTCTGCCCTCAGGAATGACCCCTGGCGGTGCTCAGGGGACCATATGGGATACTGGGAATCGAACCCAGGTCGGCCGCGTGCAAGGCAAACGCCCTCCCGGCTGTGCTTGTCAGGGCCCTCTGCTGTGTCCTTCTTCCTGCCCGGGCTTCTGGGCCCTTCTCAGATCTTCATGCCCCTCCTCT